GTGTCTCCAGGTGGGAGCATTCCTCCCTTTGGAACTAAAACCTCTAGGCCTGCAGAGCATAAGGTCGAGGAGACAGGAAGCAAAAATCTTGCAAGTGGGTCACTAGGGGTAATAGTGAGTAGTGCCATTCCCATTTCACCCCTTGATTCCTGAACCCGTGAATCCTGGCTATGGGAGAAACAGCACCATATATTGGACACTGATTTAAAGCATATACAGCCTCCTGGAGAACATTGCCCCAACCCTGCAAGGTATTGCCACCTACTTGGCACCGTAATTGTGTCTTTAGAGGGCCATTCCATCGTTCTATCAAGGCAGCTGCTTCAGGATGATGGGGAACATGGTAAGGCCAGTGAATTCCATGAGCATGGGCCCACTTCCACACTTAATTTGCTGTGAAGTGAGTCCCTTGATCTGAGGCAATGCTGTGTGGGATACCATGATGGTGGATAAGGCATTCTGTAAGTCCACGGATGGTAGTTTTGGCAGAAGCATTGTGTGCAGGGAAGGCAAACCCATATCCAGAGTAAGTGTCTGTTCCAGTAAGGACCAAACGCTGCCCTTTCCATGATGAAAGTGGTCCAGTGTAATCAACTTACCATCAGGTTGCTGGCTGATCACCTTGAGGGATGGTGCCATATCGGGGACTCAGTGTTGGTCTCTGCTGCTGGCAGATTAGGCACTCAGCAGAGGCTGTGGCCATGTCAGCCTTGGTGAGTGGAAGTCCATGCTGCTGGGCCCATGCATAACCTCCATCCCTGCCACCATGGACACTTTGTTCATGAGCCCATTGAGCAATGACAGGAGTAGCTGGGAAAGAGGATGACTGGTTTCCAAAGAATGCGTCATCCTATCCACTTGATTGTTAAAATCATCCTCTGCTGAGGTCACCCTTTGGTGAGCATTCACATGAGATACAAATATCTACACTTCTTTATCCCATTCGGAGAGGTCTAGCCACATATCTCTTCCCCACACTTCCTTGTCTCCAGTTTTCCGATCATGTTCCTTCCAAGTCCCTGACCATCCAGTCAAACCATTGGCCACAGCCCATGAATCAGTATATAATCGCACATCTGGCCATTTCTCCTTCTAAGCAAAGCGAACAACCAGGTGCACTGCTCGAAATTCTGCCCATTGGGAGGATTTTTCTTCATGGCTGTCCTTCAGGGGGGTCCCAAAAAGGGGCTGTAGAGCTGCCGCAGTCCACTTTCGAGTGGCGCCTGCATATGCACGGAACCATCTATAAACCAGGCACGAGCTTTCTCTTCCTCAGTCAACTGATCATAAGGAACTCCCCATGAGGCCATAGGTGCAGACTGAGAGATGGAAGGTAATGTGACAGGAGTGGAGACCCTGGGCATTTGGGCCACATCCTCATGCAACTTACTTGTGCCTTCGGGTCCTGCTCAGGCCCAATCTCTTCCATTTAATGATGGAGTGCTGCTGTGCACATCCAACTTTATGGTTCTGTGGGTCAGACAACACCCAGTTCATGATGGGCAGCTCAGGCCTCATGGTAACTTGGTGTCCCATGGTTAAGCGTTCAGTCTCTACTAAGGCCAAGTAACAAGCCAGAAGTTGTTTCTCAAAAGGAGAGTAGTGAAGACTTCTAAAAAAAGGCACTCTAGGCAGAAGCACCACACCGTCCCTCCACAGCAAAGATCCAAAAAACTAAGCAGAACAGCGAAAACAACAATCCTGAAACCCTAAAACATCAAATGAAGAGATAAAGAACTCAGCCAAGCACCAAATGGAGTGAGAAGACTGACAGAGAATGGAGAGCGAGGAGAGATTCATGCAGAGGTCCCCTATCAGCTAACGCAGCGCGGATCTACCATCTCGGACTCCTATCGGAAACCAGCAAACAGGAGGTATGAGAAAGCAGCTTCACGAAGCTTTCAGCAGGAGACAAAACAACTGGTAATTTGCAATCTACGCTTTCCCACCCTCCACCCTTCTTCACCCCACTTGGGCTCCTGTGCTTCCCACGGCCACAATCTCTTGTCCGGGAAGCATCGTCTGCTTGGATTCCACCCACCCGAATGGGCTGGCTCTCTGGGTG